GTGAGAGATTATGGTCAGTCGTGGGGTCAGCCAGCTGAAGAGGACAGAAGAGAATGGAACGAAGTGTAGATGTGTTTTTGAAGCCCTATGTTCCACTCGGAACCCAAGGGAACAATAATAATAATAATACCTCATAAGCTCTCACAATAATGAAACATCCAAACTTAGTTGTGTAACAACAAAACATTTAGCTTTTAAGTTACCTTTTTGTCAGAAGCCTAGCGTCATGTAATAATACCAAGGTATCTATTTAATTAGGTTCCTCATTTTTTATCATCTATCTACAGGCAGTACTTGAAAACATGAACAAACAGAGGATTCACTGGGGATAAACAACGATGTGTAATTCAGTGGTAATATTTGAGATCTCAGTACCAAGCTGCTGAAATCTCCTGATTATTGAACATTCATCTTGCTGACACGAAGAGAAACAAGGCTTCCTGCCGATTGCCTCCAACCATCTAATATCATCAGATCAATGTGCACCGTGATGTCCAGCTACTAGAATGGTGGCCACATTGCAAACATGACTGATAAAAATCAGTCTGCACCAAAGAAAGGAGTAGAAACGTCACACTAGTTACTAGTGTCCAACCAAAATACGAAGAGAAACAACCACGAAACTCAATCTCAAAGATAACTTTCAAAGCACAGGTTATTCTTGTATCAATTAGTTGACTAACTGTTCAATTGATTGACAGATTTCTATGTGAACTTAAGAATTAGGAAATCAAGTTAATTACTAATTTAGATCATGGGGATTTGGATTGATTTAAATATAGGTTTCATCGCGAACCAACATCACTAAGATATTATTGAAACCCACGGAGTACTAGACAGCCGTCCCATCCAAGTGAGGGACGAAAATAAATATCAATCTCCATCTCAATGACAGCTACTGGGTGGATTTCCAGAAGCTGTGCGGAGAACCGTTGTCAATGGAGACCATGACGCCAAGGTGGATAAGTGGACTGTAACTGAAGTCATTGGTCGAGGGTAGACCTATGACACAAACTGACAAGGTTAGAACTCAAGGGTCATTGAATTCCAGGTCAAAAGGGAGAATGATTAACCATCCTACTCCCGTAGACTGCAGGCTCTGGGGTCGATCCCTAGGCGGCAGCGGATGCACACTTCTGAAGAGTTTCAAACTAGGATAAAACAGCTATCCAGAGCTCCCTAGTTCTCGATGACTTCAAAAAATGATTTTAGTTCGTGACGAAAGCTACACTGAAATTACTAGTCTGTCTTTAACAATTTCAGAAACTGTTTCTTGGTTTTGTAAAGATAATTATCAAATTTTACACCAGTATACACCAGTATTAATTTCTAGTGCAGTAAATCATTCTATAAACGTATGAACTTTAGCCAAGGTCAACAAATGAGATAGGCTTTATTCACAAATAAGTACAATACCTTGTTTTATTATAGTAGTAACTAAATGCGACGTAGCCGTTAAATAAGGAATAAAAATGATTGGTTGTCTGTTAGTTGAACTTATTATTTTTATTACCTTTAATTCCTAGAGGAACATAGAGCTTCAGCTGCGCGTCTCCATCGCATTCGGTTTTCTGACAACTTTTTCACCCCGCTCCAAGTCTGCCCACACGCTTTCATCTCTTCTTCACATGACCTCCTCCAAGTCACCCTCGCACAGACGACCAACTCGCCACTTCCCTTTCGGTCAGATTCCACTTGAGCGACGGCTTGTCTATTGATGTCACTTGATGATTTCCTCAGAGTATGGCCAGCCAATCAATCTCCATTTCTTCCTGCCTATTTGTTTCACAATCGGTTCCTGTTTGGTTTGCTCATTGCCAGAGATCCCTGTTGCTGATCTTTTCTGGCCGGCCATCTGATCTTGAGTATTGAGCGAAGACAACTGTTAATGAATGTCTGTAGTTTGTTTGAGATGCCCTTTATGACGCGTCAAGTCTCTGATCCGTATGGTAAGTAGCACTGACTTCACATTGGAGTTGAAAATCCGGATCTTATTTTTGATGGTGAGTGCTGTTGACCTCCACACAGATTTGAGAGTAATGAAAGCTTGTCTTGATTTTCCGATTCTAGCTTTGATATCCTCATCAGTTCCGCCTGTAGTTGAAACGATGCTTCCCAGGTAGATTGGTAGGTGAAGGAGTTTGTTTCTTTCAGGTTCCTCCCATTTATGCTGATTGTTGTCTGTTGTTGTTGCAGTTGACCAGGAACCTTCAACACCTCTGTTTTATCTATGTTTACTTGGAGTCCTATCTTTGATGCTTCTTCTGCCAGCTTGTTGCTTTTCACTTGCATATCTTCCAGTTTGTGGGAAATCAGACATATATCGTCGGCGAAGTCCAGATCCTCCAAGTATTTTGTGTGAGTCCATTTTATGCCTGTTTCCTCATTGCCTGTTGTCTGTCGCATTATTCAATCTACTGCCAGCAGGAAAATCATTGGCGATAGTAGGCAGCCTTGCCTTACTCCCGTCTTTACTTCGAAGGATTCCGTAAGTTTCCCGTTGTAGATTACTTGGCATGCAGCATTGTCGTATAACTGTTGGATGAGATGTATAATTGTCGATGGCACCCCGTAGTAGTAGCGAAGCAGTTGACAAATGACCACTCGATCGACGCTGTTAGTTGAACTTAACACAAACTAACTGCTGATTGGTAAATTCCAGATTACATTTGTCTAACACACTTACAAAATTGGTATTGCCTAGTTTTTAGTTGAAAGTGCATTCGTAGCTGCCTTTTTAAAAGCAATGATATTCTAATCATTGTGCTCAACATATTTCATTAATTTACACAACTTCTGACTCACTTATTACACATCGTCTATAACTACATTTCACTTTGTCTATAAACCCTATTTATCCAGTCAAATCAAATATATCGCACTAGATCACTTAGTAAACAAAAAAATAACTACTTGTAATTGTGTAGATATGACTATTGACTAACTGAATGACTTTTCAACGAAGAATTCAACAAAAAAGCGAAATAGTTCAACCTGTCACTCACCATGAAGCACAAGTATACGGGAGGAAGAATGATTACATGAAACGTGATGAGCATCTGATGAATGTAGGAATTCATGAAGGATGTATTCATATGCCCCACTGAGAAGGATCTCGAGTTATATCGCAGAAAGTCACCAACCTTTGATTCTTAGCGTCTCAACAACCACAATCTGATAGTCGGAGGCTTAATATATTGATGCAGTTTGTGATTTGACCACCAGTAACCTAATCTTATGTCAGTTAGCATTTCTCGATGAGGAAGCTGAGGGCTTGGTATGCATAATATATGTCATAGCCCTCCAAAGCGATGTAACTCCTCAAGTTCATTGATTGAATTTTAATATCTCCAAATTTGATCCTAATTTTCAAGCTGAACTGATAAATTCACCAACTGAGCGTATGATTCATAAATGTGGAACGTTAGTATTATTATTTCCTTGTGTGGGTTAGATATCTGTGTCTTCTCTAATTTCACTTGAAATCCTGTCGTCATTACCAGCTTCTTTTGCCAATTTGTTGGTTTTCGTCTGCAGACCTTCAAGTTTGTGTGACATTAGGCGTAAATCAACCGCGAAATCCAGATAGTCTACTTATCGATCCAATATATTCCTGTCATCTCATTCAGACCATACGGTGTACGGCATCATACACAGCACCACAACTGTGCATATAATCGGTGATAGTAGGCGACGTCCGTCTTCATTTCAAAGACTTCTTTGAGCTTTCCATTATGAATCACTTGACTTATATTAGTATAGTTTTAGAAATATTATTATTCTCTTGAGTTACATAGGGCTTACACAACATATCTACACTTTCTCCTATTTTCTACTATCCTTTACAGCCAACTCCACGATTTCCCACAATCTCTCTTCTCCCCATGTCACCCTCGCACTGACGACCCACTCGTCGCTTACCAATGGGATTCCACTCGAGCGATCGCCCGCACTGTTGGTGATGTCATTTGACGGCCTACTCAACGTATGCCCAATCCATCTCCATTTTCTCCTACACATTTGTTGAGCGATAGGCTCTTCGTTGGTTTGTTCCCAGACAGAGTTTCCTGTTGCTAATTCTTTCTGACCAGAGGATCTTCAGTATGGAGCCAGCCAGCGAAGTGGGTAATCGTTGATAAAATTCTGTGGCAGCCCGTTGGAAATCCTTTTCGTGTCTCACGCACAGTGCAAGTTTCTGACCCGTATAGAAGAACTGACTGACTTCACATTTGTGTTGAATAGAATCCGAATATTGTTCTGTATTCTGAGGCGGAGAGAGGAAGATTTCCAAACTGGTTTCAGGTTGGTGAAGACGTATCTTGCCTCTCCGATTCTGGCGGGAGTTGACATCTTCATCCGTTCCTCTAGCCTGTAGTTGAGACGATGCTTCCTAGATAAGTGAAGGAGGTAACCTGTTTAAAATCGTTCCCAGTGATGGTGACTGGTGCTGATTGTTGTTGCTGCGGTTCGCTGTTATTTTCATCACTTTCATCTTCTTAATGTTCACCCGGAGTCCCGTCTTTGCTTCCGGCCTCGCCTCTTCAGTCAGGTTGTTGGTTTTCGCCTGTAAGTCTTCCAGTTTATGTGAAGGTATACTTAGATCAAATACAAAATCCAGATCTTCTAGAGTTTTCTTATCGATGGTGCAGTGTATTCGTGTCTCCTCGCTTCCCACAGTTTGACGCATAATCTAGTCCACCATAATTAAGAATTTCATCGGTGATGATAGGCAACCAACGTTGTTTTACTTATGTATGCATTTCGAATGCCTCATTGAGTGAGTTTTCCGTTGTGGATCACCTGACACGTGGCACTGTCATATAGCTAGCCGTTGAACTAATTTGACTGCATTTTAGAGGAATATGACTGTTAATCAGCTTGTTGGTCAAACAGTTCAATAAGATTCAACTTTCATTTCATTAACAGTCTTTCAAAAACCAAAATACTTTTCCTAATTTAACGAATTTATAAATATGTTTATACTTCTCCTCTTTCTACAGGAAAACAAATACAATCATTCAAGTAGATGTTAACAAGGAAATTGAAAAGCCGGATATCATTCCAGTCAAAGAAACTGAATCATTCGAAGAAAATCTCAATAAACGTTTCCAACAGAAGTGTATTACTCAATTCAAGTGTCTTGACTGGTCGACAATACCAAACAGTGAAACAAGACGGCTGGGTAAAGAAATACAACCACCTAAAAACCTCTTAATTCGATTACAATTGTAGCTATCAAATTAATGTCAACAATTGTACTTGTAAACAATTATTATTATTACTTGCTTGGATTTCGAGTGCAGCAAAGCGTTTAGACAGTTTATAAATGTTTCACCCTGCTTTTCACAGTCATTTTTAGCCAGTTCAATAATTCTTCATAAGATCGCATCTCCTTCTCACATGACCTCCTCAATGCCACCCCCGGAACGATGCTTCACTAGCCTTTTCCCTTTCCGGGTTCTATTCAAGAACCTGTTGCACTATCCCACTCAACGGTCTAATCAGAGCGCGTTTGATCCATCTCCATTTTCTTCTAAATATTCGTTGAGCAACAGGTTCTTGATTAGTTCGTTCCCGGGAAGAGTTCCTTGTTACTAATTCTTTGGTCAACTGATCTTCAGTATATAGCGAAGGCGGTAGCTGTTGATAAACGTCTGCAGTAACCTGTTTAAAAAGAAGTGCTTCTTGTGAGAGTCAAGTCTATGAACTATGTAGAACGACTGTCTCCATATTTGTGCTGAAAATCCAGAGTTTGCTGTTCATGCTTAGTGCAGTAGATTTCCTAGAGTAATGAAGGTTTTTTTGATGTGGTTTTGTTCTCTGAGCTGGATGGTTAGTTTGCGAAGCTTTCATCACCTTACTGGGTGACATCTTCAGCGCATACTTCAAATTGAAGTATGCGCTGAAGATGTCACCCAGTAAGGTGATGAAAGCTTCGCAAACTAACCATCCAGCTCAGAGAACAAAACCACATCAAAATCATCCACCTGAGCTACAAATCTTCTCTATAGTAATGAAGGTTTGTCTTGCTTTTCCGAACATGGCTTTGACGTCCTCATTCGTGCTGTATTTATTTGAAACGATGTTATCTAGATAAGTGGACGGGGTAAGTGTTGTTATGACTGGAGCTACGACCTAGTAGACTATGAGCGAATACTAACTTAACGCGCTACCTACTCAGTCCTGATCTCACGTAAACAACAACAACAATAATAACACCGTTGGGTCGCAAAGATAAAAGGAATGACTGGAGGTTGATAAGAGAGCATCTATTGTCTCAAACAACAACAGGCAAAGAAAGATTGACAGCGCTTGCGTATATATCTGTATGCTCAAATGACCTTGACATACACTAACGTGATTGATTAATTAAGACAGTGAACAACCAATAGGATTTCAAAGGTCATAAGTAGGGTGAGAAAAAATCCCGTCAAAAACCAATAAAGACGGTTGGGAGAAATACAAACAGATATGTGAAAATGAAATGTAGAAAATTAGGTCTATGTATCATGCGCCTTCAAATTTCTCACGTTGTTGACAGTTATTGTTGGTTATGTGACTCAGTTTCTCATCTTTAACGAAATTCTCAAGCATAAAGCCGATAGAATATTAGATTTTAAACATTATGCTACCCAGAAGTAACTTCAAAAACACGAAATAAACTAATGTACTGTGAAGAAGAATAACAATTACCCAGCGTAACTCTAGTAAGAAGACATATATTTGTGAAGAAACGGTTTTTTAACAAATCTTTGATAACTGAATGTTACCCCGATGACTCCCTGTAGATGTGAATATATATATATATATATATATATATATATATATATCATACAGCCTGTTCCCTTTATAACTTTGAATATAGAAAGAACGAGCACATATTTCTAGGGTAATACGAGCATATTTAATTTCGTAGATTCTCTTCAACTGCGCATATCCTAAAACGTTACAAAATGGTGTCTGAACATACCTATTTGATATGTATCCACATATATATATGTGTGTGTGTATGGTGATCTCTCTTTCTGTTTGCTCTCTTAGTCTGTGACTATTTCACTTTGATGAACCTGTCTCCTTTAACAATGTATATTCCCCTTATATTATATATAATATGAGTGTTTGTTGACAGTCTGTTGCTTGGTGACATATATCCATATTATATGTTTGGTTGTTGACATGTCTGCTATATTTTGCTATGTATATATGGATCAATACTCCATTATAATTAGCCATCCATGTTAAGACTGTCTATTGATTTGTTCACACACTTGTCTGGACGGTCATATATATATTTCGCTCTCACAATCTTGTGACTACTTACACTTTGGTGTGATACCACTTATTGCTTCTCCTAGTGTTTGGAAAATAGAAGTATCATCGCAAACCTAGTGGTCTTCTGATTTCCGCCTTCTTGCGTCAGGACTATTAAATTCCCTACCAGTACATAGCAATAACTTGGCGACGAGTACATAACAATTTGGCGACGGGGAAAACCACTATTAATCACTCAGCAGCAGCAACATGACACTATTACAATGACTTCAACTTGTAGATAGAGAGTATAAGCAACATAATTTCAAAGATGATGTAAGTAGACAATTATTTAGTGTTAAAAGAGTAACTAATTAGATGGTAATTAGACAACGGGGTGTAAATCAGCTTTCTCTTGAAAACAAGGATGGAAAAGAGACAAAATACAAGACAGAACAACTCAGTTAGTTATACATAATGTGATGGAAATTTCAGGCGGGCTGTGGTGGGATTGAAAAGTGAAGTAAAATTATAAAATAAGTAAAATAATTTAATTTAGTCTATTTGGAACTTTAATGGTGAGTTCAACTCAGTGAGTGAAAATCAAGTTTAAGTGGAATGTTATGCAACAAGACACAACACAAAAACACACGAACAAAGCAACTACAGTTATCTGGGTAGTGAGAAATTAGTTACACTAACTTTTAGTGTACAGAGGATGGATCGAAGTTTTATTTGATTTCAGTGGCTTGTGCGAAATAAAGTAAGCATGGCTTTCTTTGTGTATTGATTATTTTGAAAGCTTGAATAATTTCCACTGTATATCCTATGTCAGTTAGGTGTCAGGCAATTGCAATTGAGAACACTTTACTGCCTTTCTGATATATACCCACATGATGTGTGTTTTTTTGACAGTCTGTTATATTTTGCTATGTGTATATGGATCGATATTCCATTATAACTGACATTATGCTTTTGTCTGTCCACTAACTAAATAACAATGTATGACCTTATTATCACATGACATTACAACCAATCATGGTAAGACGTTACCTTATTGGTTCATGTGTATTAGCCATTTTCATATATACTCTTGCTTTATTATTCTTATTCATTCTTGCTCACACACATTTCGTACACTCGTACCATTTCACTCACACTCTTGTGTGACATTTATTTTCCTTGTCTGGAAAATACAAGTATCATCGTAAACCTGGTGGCCTTCTGACTCCACTATAAGAACAGTGTAGTAAAAAATACACCTATGAGGCTCGAAGTCGTCAATGTATGTGAAGACAAACGCATTTTAAGTACATGAATTTGGTAGACATTATCTGAAAGTCATTATTTATACATCATTTGCAAATTGGTCAAATATCACCAAATTTGATAGCCTGTTGGATTCTGAACAGTGTTGTAGCTTTCTTCTCACAGTTCTGTTCTTCAAATGCCTTTCTCCAGTGCCAAAAACATATTGTTACTTTTCTGATTATAGGTAGCACTCACCACAACAGCTTAATAAACCTCAAATCATAATAATTCTCCTTTTCACTAATATGAATTCTGTGAGAGAGGTTCAATCAAAACTTGTTGTCTTCTAGATCCTGAGTCTTGATAGGTTAAAGCCACTGACTGGTTTCAAAATAGAACTTGAACAGATGTGTACCATTTCGAGTTGCTAGACTCCCTCTGTTTAGAGCACAAAGTAAAAGAAGAGAGTAAACACAGATAACACAGAAATATGAAGAATACAATTTAACTGAATATTATAAATCACAAAGAGTGAATAAATCTGCGCCAGTCATTGAGAACGATCTTGATCCATATCACCAACTGTCTCCAGCCACCGATTTTTACCATATCAAGGACCCTGAATAGAAAGCCAGCCTACACCTTCCGACGTGGCCTAAACTAACTGTCAAGGATTTCATTGACTGATGCCATGCTTTGGTTTGACAACCATGGCTGTTTTCCAACCAGATCAATTCTATGTCAGCTAACATTGCCCATCGAGGGAGGCGATCGATGGCTAGGCATACGTAACACATGTCCTAACTATCTCAATCGATGTAGCCTCACAGCCTCGTCGATTTATTTCCCTCTTTACCTAGCATTCGACGCTTAACCTCGATATCGCTCACAATGTTATACCACTTAACACAGGAGTCGAACACAGGCAACTGTGATCAAACACAACTGGCCAGGCTTTTCACATCTTCCACTTTCAATGGCCTTGTCCAACAGCTATAGGGGAAGACGGAGGGAACTGCTGAGCAGAATACACACCCTTCAGTTGATAGCTAGCCGGATATCACATCTACACCAGAGATACTGTAAGTTGGCAGGCGTATGACAAAGGAAACTTCTACATCCATGCTGAGATTTTGTTAGCGACCAACCCTATGGGCTGGTGGAACTCCCCAAACAAGTGAAGTGGTCAACACGCTCCACCACTTCACTACCTGTCTTCAAGGTAGGAGTCAGTCAATGTGGTCCAGTCCTGTAGCATCATCTTACATTTGATCAAGGAAGATAATCGCATGTCAAACATCCGAAGATTGCTGTTCCTCAAGTTGTCCAGAAGACTCTGCTCTGTTTGTCAACGTCTTCACCTAGGACTGTATCATCTCCACTGTCTAGGTTACAATCAGCTCTTTAAAAAAACTGTACAGCAGTGTTTATTTCCATCAACTGGTTATTTCGTTCACATACTGTAATATTGATCAGAATAGCTTTGTGGTAAAGTTCTTGACCGTTCAAAATAACCAATGCATAAGACATTGGTTCACAGCATGGATTTCGTGCACCAATAAATTCATGCCGACTTTAAAGCATCAAAGAAATGCCAGTTCATTTTAATCATAAACTAAATGGAATAAACTTCTAGTGGACTAATATCAAAACCAAATTGTTTTAGATCCCTTAAGAATGAATCGTATTATTGGTTACTTAAGTTATTCGTCGAATAGAGAGATAAAACT